ATTCCATTTGCTTTATAGATTGTTCGACGGACTGCTTCAACTTTTTATTGACAATTTATTCACTGCTTTTAACGTTCTTTCCCCATGATGTTGATACGCTGATTAAAAAGTAGCGGAAACGAAAGAATACAATAGTTCGATGAAAGACGGTCGTTAGGAAAAGCTGTGAATAGGAAGAGGATTTTCAACAGAATGGATATAGAATAAACAACGCTCGATGTTCCACAAAGATTCTTTGATTTATTGTAACCTATCGTTGAACACTTTTACACAGATTTCTCCTTGGCATTTTACACGACGAATACACTTTGCGACGACTTTCTTCTCACATAAGCATATTAGCAGTCATAGCCTCGTGGGATAAAACAGAGACACACCATCGAACATTAACGAGCCACTCGAGACTTGGCCGCAGACACGAACAGACGCGACGAAACACGATTGTTTAATCACCCATAACGAGGGAAAAAGCAAGCCGGCGGTTATAATCGATTCGTTGTACTCCTTGTCCGTATTTCCACTTCCACTCTCTTGACGATTCTATCGTTCCTGATCGCTTCATTCCGTCACAAACCCCGGAGAAAACAAGCAACGGGGAACCCTCTTTAACTAACGAGTCACATCAACTCTTCTCCATCGTCGATTAATTCAAAACATACCTAGTCCGACTAACAATCAACGCTGAAACATAAAAACACAAGCGGAGAAAAAAGAAAGAAGAGTAATAGTTACGGTCGAAAGAAATTACAGTTCGGCATAATCTATATTCCATTCGGGGAGAAAAAAAAAATGGACCGAGTGAAAAGCACGGAATCTCTCTAGAATCGGGCGTGTTCCTTGTTCTATATTAACGATTCATCGACTTTCTAGTGGGAGGATGCAATGCAGCCCGGCGCCGTGGCCCGATAGAATTTGAAGCGTTACATTAGTCCAACTAATGACCGACATGACTATCCGTGGGTAGATACCGGTTCTTCGAGATCCAAGAGAACCAACAACCATGCCCTCGAGAAGATGGTTGTAGACGGCAGAGCAACGCAGAGGATGATCACCGTGTCTGGCCTACGTGGAGGGCGCCACGTACTCGAGCACATTCGACGCGATTGCACGTATACACGCTGCAAACTATGCGCCCTATCGTCCTTTCTCTTCTTTCTAATTCATGTATTCCGATCTGAGCGTAATACGTAGTCTGTTTAAACGTCTGCGTTCGTCCTCTTCCGTAAGTCCACGATTTGGAAAATATCTACGTACACGGATGAGACGTTTAAACATAGAATCATAGGAAAAACGAAATCGTCATGGCAGACAAAGGAAAGTGCCTATTACAGATTCCATACGAAACGAACGACTATCGATTACTTGTTCTAAAAGAGACCGCTTTTTCTCTCAGCTTGATAGACACTTAGACAAGAAGAAGCTTTCTACGCGACATCCCTTTTACCGAGCACGAGGAATTATTTGCACCCGCGAATAGTCTCGTGGAAACTAGACGAAGATTAAAATCTTCGGAAGACGCGAAAGCGCCACACGTCGGAGAAGGGAAACGCGGCGAAGAGCGGAGAAACGATGAGGGCGCGTGCCGAAATTGAAACAGGAAACGAGAGGACTAACGACGATCGTAAGTCAAGAAAGCACTCTCGCTCGTTTAAAAGCCCCCGCGCGTCTAGATGATAAAAATGGGAGAAAAGAAAACGACGAGGGACGCTAATTCATAGGACTCGAGGCGAATCGTGATCCGGACGAGCCTCCTCTCTACCACGCGCGGTTCTGCATTCGCCCGCTCGTGCCTACAGCTGTATGGAAATTTTCAGCGACGGTAATGAGGCTTAAGGGACGGTTGTGTAATCAGTGTGCTCCAACTCGATAGAAACAATGTTGCCGTGCACGGTGAGGGCCGCCGTTCGTCGTTCTGGAAATTAAATTCCATCCGAGTTTCGCAATTCCGCGCCACACTGGCCGCGTTGCTATTTATCACGCCGCTTGCTTTTGTTAATGAACGTCAAACTGTCTTTGCCGGCGCGTACCGCCGCAACGCCGGCCGCGACGATCTCAGAACGGTTTCTGGACACCCCGGAATCCTCCGGTCCCTGATTAAACGAAAACACATTGTCACGAACTTTCCCTAACTCGATCATCGTGTTCGTTGCCGTTTTCATTAAATTGCGGAGGGTCTCGTCTAAATCGCCACGAAAAATGGAAGAGTCACGGTCGGTATAGTCGATAAAAGGAATCGATTACTTCTCAAAACGAATCGCTTTTGTTTTTAAGTTAGAAAGTCGGTGCCGGATACGTAACGAGGTGTTTTGACACGCGTCTGCAGAATTTTAGGAAATTTTTTGAGAGATTATTTCAAGGAATGATTACGTGGATAGATTTTCTTGATACTACTTACGTAATGATAGAAGTTTAACCCTCCACGATCCGAATTCCGTTTGACATTCTATCTCGACCGATTTACGTCCAATAAGCTACTTGCACGTAGTAACTCGTCTAAATACGTTGACGTATCTCTCGAATAAATCGAATGATAACACGAAAATTACAACACTGGCAATTTTATAACTACGCGCAATATCGTAGCTGGAAAGAAGAGCTTACGATATTGCAAGAACACTGGAAACTTTGAAATAAAAAATACGTCACACTTTGTAAACTTCAAATTTCTAAACTTCACTGGAATAGTAAGTACTAAAACACAATCGACCAAAACTGCGAATGAATACTGTTTAAGTTAAATACTTGGATATTTTCTATCGATATGTAACGCAATAAAGCGCAGAATAGGTTTCTTTTCGGGAAACTAGAAAGATCCGAGAAATAGAATGGCAAATAATTATAAAGCGATATCCAACTGGCAATTATTAACTCGTTCAATTATTAACTTCGAACCTCGGCAACGTACAATTGAGAATTTATATATTGAGCTTTTACCGCTGTCGAAAGTGTGATACAATTTAAGAGATCGTTACGATCGCGATCAAAGTTTCGGTAATCGTACACCTTCGACAACTACAGAGACTACGGTAAAAGTTTTTTGCACACGACCGAAACACCCCGTGCATCCGTGTACGAGGCGATATTAAACGAGTGCGTTGAACGATAACCAAGGATCTTAAACAGGAAATTACGTATCTTATCAACGGCGCGGTAATTATGCGAATTTATTTAATAGTGTTCGATCGACCTCGAAAACTTGGGCCTCACGGGCCAAACATGGCACGCGATGAGTA